GTGTAATTTTTAAATATTAATTTTGTTCTTCTTTGCTCTATTAAGCTTTATCTAAGAAGAAAATTGTATAATAATATTTCAACCACTAATGTTCAACGTATTCATTATCGACGACGTTTTCAGTCAATACCAGATGTCATTAGTCCACCTGGGAAATAAATAACAAATATTTTTCTTGCTCTTGAATGTTTCAGATATCGACAGTTTTAAACATTATAAAAACAAGTTAGTTCAGTCAATTAGTGAGACAGACATTTATCTAACTTTATTTTTGTTCATGATAACAAACTTGATTCAAAGTTCAACATAAAATCTGCTAAAATATAGGTTGTTTTCTCTTTTCCAATAGAGGTATGTATGATATTTTTACAAGTGAATATTAAACCATGTGTTAAGTTACGCTGCTTTATCTGTAAAGTTTGGAAATAAGGAGTCGTTTTATTGTCACAGAGATAGAAATGTACTAGTGAAGCAAATCATAAAAAATACAAGGAACCGAGATGTTGAAATACAGTAAAAGCGAACACATCTTATTCCTTGAATAACAACACTTGATTCTGACCTATCTTACCTATGAATGAAAGAGTCGCTGTCACACAAAATGTAGCAAACCATCCTAAAGAAGAAATAATACGATGGAGAACTAAAGGCCAGAGAAAGAAACAAGTTGTCTGGAATAAAAAGTATTGAATTATCAGTTAAAACTCGAACAGTTTATTTTATGTATTGTAGCAAACTATCAACTTTATTTCTGATATTTTCAAATCTAGAAGATAACATTTCTTTAATATAAGTAAACTATCACTAAATTGGTTTAAAGAACGTTAAAGAAATATATCTATAAAGATGAATATTTTCTTTGGCGAAACATTTACTTGAATATCTGCTAAGTTACGATTCGGTAATAAAAAGATTGATTTTATGGTGTTGGTAATCCTTGCTCTACACTTACTGATGCAAAGAGTACCATTCCAAAAATTTCAGCAGTGTATTTCGTTCCAAAAACTTCAGCAACGG